TACAAGCAGCTTTGTCTGTTAATTTTACTTATACTCAAGTTCATTAAATTTCGAAATAATTTTATTTATTGTTAATAAAGAAATTATTGCAAATATATTCTGTCACACATATGATTTTTTTCATGACTTTTCTAAATGACAATAATTTAGAGTATTAAAAATTTCTTTCATATTCAGTTCTTTGATACACGATTTATTTGTCAGAAGCCTCAGTCAAAATTCTACTGCTGCAATATTTAAACAAAGAGAAATTTTATGTTCAAATGTTATGTCGATAATACACTCAGTTATCCTTGACAATGTAAATTACATTTTTATTGACTATACAAACTATATAACTGAACATAAACTTCAAGTTGAGTATTAAAAATGAGTACTTATTGTGACGTGAATGCATCAAGTCAGCCTCGTCGAACGGTTACTAATTTTCTATTAAAAAAAGAAAAATAAATAAGTCCTTGTTTAGATGAAAAATATGAAGAACTGGATGTTTAATTTGCAACGAGCATTCAGAATGATACACGAGTTGGTAGTGGATGGTCGCGTAGCATATTAATCGTTAAAAATTGCTGGTCTATATCTCTTAGCAGGATCAAAATGGTGGCGGTGCATGCGACCCTATTAACATACGGCATTAAGTATTCCGCATGCGAAACAACCACCGAGCTTTACTCGGATTTCTGCGGCAATTACACGCGCCCCTAATGGCCGCCCTTCGCAGCTATTGATACGGTTTGCGCAAAACCTGCTTTCGAATTAACGCTATCAGTTGATAAGCTGTCGCGATGCTAATGCGGATTAACGGGCAAAAAGGACTCTCGAAACTCGTCACTTTAAATACACCAGCCCTCATTTGTGAACAGAAACGAAATCGAAATAAATACCGAGGTTGTACAGGGTGTCTCACAATAAGTATCTCTGAAATGAGGGGTAGACTGAGTAAGATTTCCTTTTGCAAAAATGGGGTAGAGAATTATAGGTTAAGCGGTTAAATATTCACACCCTCAACTTTGAAATACAGGGTGCCTCATTATTAGTGTAACTCTCGGAATTGGTGGGGTTTGAAATTCTGAACAACTTTTCCCTTTGCAGAAATGGGATCTGAAGCTTCGTTTTTGAATTATTAAGGAAAAACACGGGACCAATCAGAGCGCGAGGATTGCGCGCGCTCAGCTGCTGGGCGGAGCTGTCTCGCGCCTGCGTAGTAATCCAACGCGTACTAATACAGCGTGTGGATATTCAACGCGTAGTATGTTGAAGGCGAGGAGATCCGTGGACGAAGTGTGTCGTAATTAATTATATACAAAACACAAAAACTATTTATTTAAGAACGATATAAAATACAATCAGAATTACGTGAGAAGAAAATTAGAAAACAAAATTGAATCGAAACATGCGAACACAAGAAGGAACAAACAATGATGATTAACATCGCTAGATGGAGACAAATGTTAATGCTAATTCGTGCATCGCTCTTATATCACTTTTATCTCCAATATAGTAATCTAGCGCGTGCATATTCTACGCGTAGTAATCTAACGCGTAGTAATGCAACGCGTGGTAATGCAATGCGTAGTAATCCAATGCGTAGGAATCCAACGCGTACTAATACAGCGTGTGGATAT